CCGTTGGGCTATTGGCGGACCCTTACCACCTGATGGGGTGGTGCAGCCGTTTCGTCCTCCGCCTGAGATCTCGGAAAGTTACCGACTGATTTTGAAAATTCGAAGAACGTTCGATAGCCCCACCAAGGTTTCGTTGACCTAGGTGCAACCCATGACGTCACAAGTCAGGTCAAAGGTTGCATTTTTTCACCGATTTAGTCTAAGGAATGAGTTACAGTCAGTAAACACATCAAATAAAAGGCATGTTATCGAAAAACATCGATGGAGCGTGGTTGCCCAATACATATGTTGCCTAAAGAGGTCACTAATGCCAGGTCAGGTGGCAGAGGTCAGGTCACTAAGGGTCACAATATGAACCCAACTATGCTAATTGCTAGGGTCGCGTGATGCATGTTTTATGGTCAATTTTACATTTGAAATGCAATGTTTTGGGCTAGACGGCCATTTGGGCCGGTTTAGATTACGTTCTGGTGGAGGTCAGATCAACGTCAGGTCAAAGAAGGTTAAATTTCAAAGTTGATATTTTGCATAAAAGGGGTATCTATTCGATGCAGCTCATCACGGGAAATCCAAGGGTGGTCTTAGGCTTGCTCTGTGTGTTCTGTGACCGCTAAAAATTGAGCTTGAAAATTTTACGTAATACATTTTGAGTAGTATTTTTTTGCCATAACTTTGCTAAGAATGGAGCTATCGAGTTTAAGTTTGGCATATCTAGAGCAGATAGTTTTATAACATATATGCCAGCTTTAATTTGGAAGGTTGTTGTTTTTTTCGGGGTGTTATTAGTTCTATAGTTTTGATGGTCGAACTCAATTTTTGTTTAGAAATCAGAGTTAGCAGTTTTGTAGCGCTGCTTATTTTACATCTTTTTTATCTTGGAATATTTTTTGTTATCTTCAAGCGTGACAGCTCTTCCCGCTAAACCTTTCTATTGGGTCGAAAATGACATAATATGACGTCACTCTGACGTTATTTGTGACTAACCTTTCTCTGGAAAAATTTGGTCACAAGGTGTAAAAAGGATGCCCGGAGGGGTCTTGAAAGTTTGGTGGCGAGTGGCGACCTACGCTATACTTTAGGAGATATCGACTGAAAAGGAGAGAGGGGGCTGTGTCGCGCCCCTCCCCCCCCCCCAACGGGGCTCGAGGCTTTCAGTTGTTGCTCTCACATAACTCTTGGTTATATTACAACGTAGTGGAATTGCAAGTGGCAATATAAGCTTCCTGCCAGCGCCGGACCAGAGTTTAAACACGCAGGCTGAATTTTAACATTCAACTTTTAAATTTTTATCGTTGAGCTTTTTAGAAGTTGTATGAACTGTTCTGCTCCTTTTTTGGTCCATCACAGCGGGCTTGTATTTCATTTTTCAATCAAAATCGAATTACAATTTTTTTTTTGTCTGGTTAGGTATCTCGCCAACTTCTTAACTGAATCGTTTAGTAGCTTTTGATTGGGCACTGCCCACGTTGTCTGTCAAACTTTTCGTGTCATAGACACTGTCTAGAGGCTGCTGACATCTTTTGTCGTGGTTAGATAATCTAATACCAATTCACGTCCCAGTGGCTGCTCGATCGCACTCTCCCTGGCCCACATCTCCCACCAGGCTAGGCTTTGCCCGGCACAGCCGTCGCCTCAGTGCCTCGGGCGGTGACCCGTTCAAAGGGGCTCACAATTCGTATGGTGCCGTGGCTCTCAAACCAACACAGAACAGTGAAACGCACAGGCTCACCTTCCATATAAGGCGAACGGCTGATTCTGGCACCGGGGCTTCATTCATGCTAAGGCGCCCAATCACAGCGCCGCATTTCAGTTAGTGTCGGGCGCAAAAGCTATTATGCTCCGCCCCTCCATCACGTGACCCTGCCCTCACGTGGCCTCAGTCACGTGGTGTTTCCACTTCTTGGCGCATGGCGGCGCTAGTCTCGCAAGGGCGGTGGTAGCTTGCTCCCCCGCCGTCCGGGGGTGATGGGTAGCAAGTGCTGGTGACTGTACCCCCGAATTAGAATCTAATTAATTCTAAACCGAATTAACTCTAATTCAAATTAGAATCCTTACAACCAAGCAACGACAAGGCGATAACATAAGCAAAAACCCAAGCGTCGCTGTTTGAAACAAAAGCGCCATATACTGCGACTTTTTATAGAGAAGGACAACGCATTTCGGTGGGTGTTACAAGTACTGCAAGTACTGCTTCTTTTTTGCAAAAATTAAAACCTTTGTCACATACGAAAATGTGTTAGGAAATTTTCATATTTTATAGAAACTACAGTAGAAATAGTATAGATGTCGAGTAATTTTTATTTAAGAAAAAAGAAAGCTCATTATCTCCCTTTAAAGGTAAGGGTACATGCTTTGCTTTGGTGACACCTTGCATAGATGATGCAACACGTTCGTGCGGTCGGGGATGAAAAAGTACCTACTTTGAGCTGGAAGAGTCGTTTTTGCTACCATTCTTTCCCTCGCCTTGCGTCGTTTTTCAAACATCCGGTTTATCGAGATGGCGACATTTTTCACGTCTGCCACACCATCCCTGGCGTTGATAGAAGAGTTTCATATACCACTGCACACCATTTAGCGTCTGTAAGTATGCAAGAATGCGTGAACTGCTCTCGAGAGTCGTCTAATTTGAAGGTATTTTGGCCGGTGCTGCTGCATTCACTTAGGGACGACTTCAGTCCTCAGCTAAAAGAATCAAAGGAACGTTTGAAAAGTTCAAAGCCTGCCCGATTAAAAAGTGAGGCTAGAATGGAAGGTATTGCAGAAAGCCGCTTTTGTTGAAGTGGCAGGTTTGGAGAGATAAGGGTTTGAAAGCGTTCGAAATTATTTGTTTTTACCCATTGATAATGCATTGCGGCCTTATCATATATCTTAGTATATCACATATCTTAATTCTTAATCTTTAATATAATCAGCTGATATAACTTTAGTCAGATATTGGACGGTTCGAAACGTTTGAGTCTTTCATTCTTGTACTTTCCATAAGCATGTGGTTCCCCTGAACACTTCTCTGTCTGTCGTCTCCCCTACACCTCTTTGCTGTCATCCCGTGCGTGAATGGCCTGTACCTAGTCCATAACGCGAGTGATTGGCGGGGACTCTACAGAGTCTCACTCTCCCCCTTCTATCTCCGAAACCACTAGTCCGATTTTTAAAATTCAAAGGAGGTTTGATAGCCCAGGAAAAGATGTTGGGCAAAAGCCAATATTGCTGACCTCGAGGTCATTTATGACGTCACAGGTCAGTTCAAAGTAAAAACAATAATCATGTAGGCATGTTCACACCTGACCCGCGCCCCGCTGGGAGGGGGGGGGGGAGGATCTGCCCCCCTGTCTAACTTCCGAACCGATGGTCGTAGAAAGACGGGGAAAACGGCAATCGAAAGCTCTCAACAAGGCGGATCTTAAAAGCCCTTTTTTTGCTTAAGTAGGTCAGGGGTCAGTTCAAGGTCAGGTCAAGGGTACAAAATGCAAGTACAGTACAATTTCTACAGTATCGGCCTTGCACCGTAGTTGCCGAAGAATAAACTGAGGCTGATTGCCCAAAACGTGTTTTTAGACTACCAAGACAATATTCATTGCATACAATGTCATTCAAAGGTCAAGGTCAAGGTCAGGTCAGGTCAGGTTAGGTCGCCAAAAACAAAATATAGAAAAGGGCATGTGCGACGCATGTTTTATGAGTCATTTTACTCATAGAATTCAATAGGCACACTCAATAAGTGATCTGGACCACCTCTGGATGAATTTCAGGTCGAGGTAAGGTCAAGGTCAGGTCAAGTGAGGTCAAATTGTGAAGTTGGTTGTTAAGGCCTGAAAAGGTATCTATCTGATGCAGTTTTTCACGGCGAATCGAATAGTGCTATTTTTGTTTCCGTACGAGGTCTAGAATTTCCCAAAAAATCATTTTTCAAAATTTTTGTGTGTCGTGACGTCATAAAATTTTGAATAACTCCCACATTTTTGAACTGATTCTTCTAAAAATGGGTATGTAGGTGCACATAGACCAGTTCTCTGACATATATTCCGTTTTTTTATACACTCAAAATTTTGGATTTTATAATTATTTTCCCAAAAACGTCAGTTTTCTTAAGAAAAAAAAAATTGGGCCAAAATTTTCAAAAAACCGAGAAAGCCATTTGATAGACAAAGTAGAATCGCGCATAATATTTTTTGTTACGTCTTGATTCCTTTACAAATGAAGATGTTAGTGGCGTTTGAAATTTTGCCGTTTTTTGAGGCGAAAATGGCGAACATGACGTCACTAAAACGTCAATTTCTCAAAAATTTTCCGACGGATTTCGCTCAAATTTTCAGGGAATGTGTCAAATTGATGTATGATAAGGTACTTGAAAGTTTTACGTCGCTGGCGTAACGCGTTTAGAAGTCATTGGCGAAAAAGGGGAGGGGCAGATTCTGCCCCCCCCCCCCCCAGCGGGACGCGGGCTAAGGCTCTGGCGGTCACATAAGCAAGTGACATGGAGCTGAATTTTAGTTTGCACTATTGTGTATACTGTATCATCTCATGCAAATAAATTAGTGCTAAATTAGATACAGCGCTCGCGACAGCGATTATCGTGGAAACTTATTTTGCGTCAAAGTCGACCGAGCATGACGTTGCTCAGATATCATTTTCAAGCGACCCGGGAAGCTACAAAATATCCTTTCTACACAAGATGCTATATTGATGCAGCCGAAACTACCTATGGTGAACGTTTCGGGTAGATACGTCTGGTTGTTCAGAGCATTATTGCAGAAAACGGGAGTGAGATTGGGCTCTGTGCCTGGCCTCTCTGTCTGGTGTCTACCGCCCTCTTTTCCACTCTCTTCGCCTACCGTCTCCCTCTCCATCTCTCTACCTAGTGCCTACCGCTCTCTGTATAGTAATAGTATACACATCTCCGTTCTGGCTCCTTCCCTACAACTGTGTTTAATGTTTACCATCACCCTCTCCACTCATGTGCCCCCCCCCCCCTTCTCCGCCGCTCACACTACCAGCCTCACCGTTTACCGGAGTCTCCTGAACCGGAGGTGCCGCTGGCGCCAGGTGACCGGTCGCCCTTCTCTGTGCCGCCGACCCCAGCCAGGTACTGCGGGTAGCTGCCGCGGTAGACGCCCCGCGGGCCCGAGAGGCCCCCGCTGCCCCTGCAGACGGGACACGGGGTGGTCCAGGGTTAGATACGAAACAGTGCCATATTACAACACTCCAGCCTATCTGGATGTGGGAATATGAACCAGCTACCGAGTGGAAGCTCGATAATAACACTCCTGTCAAAATGAACATGACGTCAATATGTTATGCAACTGACCAAAGTGCACACCAGTGCACGTAGGCCTACTGCTCTGACCGGTGTATACTGAGAAGTCTATGATAATGTTCTTGAGAAGCATGCAATCTACCCGTTTATACTGATTTAGACATATGCTATGATTGTGATATGGATAAGGATAATTGCGATATCTGATGGATAAAACGAGTGGCTGCGCACTGTAAACACACTTGTACAATGTACAGTTTACCTGTAAATACCTTAAGTAGTGTACCTACCCTGAAGACACGCCGCTATGCTCGCTCAATGACGAGACCTATCTTAGCCTTTGCGACTAATGATGCATTCACACATTTAACCACGATGGATTTGCGAGTTCAACTTTCGACGAGTTTGCGGAAAGTTGTGGAGTTGGAAATGAGGTGGCAATGATTACTGGCAGCGGCTCAGTATAACACACACATCAGAGCTACGAACTACCCAGAACGGCGACATCAATCAGGACCTACAAATGTAAGCCATTACTTGCTATCAAAGTAACATATTTCATTATTTGTGGTGCCGCCGACCAAAGTTTTGTACGGACCGGGACGACCGGCTAGGCTGGTCTGCACAGGACGTTCTGACAATGATTTAAAGGAACAACATTTCAAAACAATTAGATAAAGATTTTGATGAAGGTGATGTAGTGAAAGCAAATGTTTTTTTTCATTGTTAAGTGCTTGCTGAATATACGACATTTCAATCAATTAATTGTTTTGAATGACCTAACAAAATTAAACTTTTTACATTCATATGTACCTATTTTTTGTGTGTATAAAATATAGGGGAAGGAGGGTGAATTGCGCCACCTTAAGGAAAAACGCTAATTGTAAGAAAACCGCTGGAGATATAAGCATGCACTGGTAACCACTTCAAAGAGGAACTCATTAGCTACGATTTAAGAGCCTCCCGATCAATTAAGAATGTTTCGTGTGCTTCCGACAGCTGCTTTTCAGAAACATGCAAAAGGGCGCATTTACCGACAACTGCTGTAAATTGCGCCAGGGGGATGGCGCAATTAGAATCCAATTGCGCCCTATACTACTTAAACATGGCTAAGCGAATGAGACGGAATGCATACACCCCGGCAGTGTAATGTCATTGCGGCTTACTTAAACATTTATAATGTTAATCAGGCTGGATAAATAATAAATGTAGATATAAATAGCGATGTTTTTTGCCCAGGTAAATAACTTTACATGTGTCCGTATGTTTGTAAAAGTGCAACGAAAACGTTTTATGTAACAGACTAGATATATGTGAAAGTATGGTTAAATTTTCAATCGTTTCTCTCAAAATTATTAATTTTTATCGTTTCGACAACTTGTTGACATCAGTTTTTACTTTTTGATCATAGCTGTCACCTCTCACGCCCGAGTCCATATTGAAAATGCCGTATTTTGTCAATTACACCACAAGTTGGCAACCTAAATGGCAGCTGCATTTTAAGTTTGACGAGAGAAATAATTTGCGGACTGGCGACAGCGGGCTGCTCCCCTGCCTGGCATTAAACTCCTTCTTTATTGCAATCAGATAATGGTGCATTCATACTGTCGTGATACAATAGCTACACCATTATTCTATTTGCGCCCCCATGGCGCAATTGCCATGGGCGCAATTAGAATTGAGGTACTTTTTAATAAAAGCGTAGAAGTTGTCATAAATATGCTGAAGGTAGTTTACTGTTTAAGTGAAATATAATGAAAAAATGGGCTTTCTTTCTAAATATCACTCTGAAAATCACACACGTATCACAGATTTTTATAGCCAACGGTTCAAAATACTGCAAAAAAGCTAAGAAAACGCCGTAATATCTTTGATGGCGTAACTGAGCCCTGCTGATTGGCTTCGTCGGAGAGCTTGGGCCATAAAATGAACTATCAGGTGGTGAAAATATTGTTTTCGAACACAAAATTATAAACATGCCATTGAATTCGTGGGAATGTTGGTGGGCGCAATTGGTTAGGAGGGCGCAATACACCCACTTTCCCCTACATGAATGAAAAAGCTTAAATTTGTTAGGAGGTCATTCAAAACAATTAATTAAAAGGAGATGGCACCAGTAAAAGCTTATTCGTTTTATCTTCATTTTTTTCATGTCTCAACAAAACAGTGAGTCCTATCACCTTGTCTACGGTCTACACGTAATTAAATTCCACTGCTCCGCGAATTTTTAAACTGCATTGCATGAATTTTGCGGTACTTATCTCATAATGCTGTGTTGTTCATAATGAACCCTTTTACCTCGACACTTTATTACGTGTGTGGTCAATGATCCTTGTAAAAAAATGTTTCACTTTAGACATTTCTAGCTTAATGGCGTCGGCTTTTTGTTGCAAAATACACGGCTAGTAAGAGTCTAAAAAATAGTTTTGCAACCACTTTGGCACACTGTATAACCAAAGCCATCGTTAAAATTAACCCGCGCACCGACGGGGGTCTGCGCCAACTTCGCACCGACGGGGGGGGGCGGATGACCGCCCCCCCCTGAGATCTCGAGAACGAAGCAAGATAGCGACAAGCGGTAAACGGCATCGGATACGCACGGTCAAGATCTACAATTTTTACTAAGGTCATTTACAGGTCAGGTCAAAGATGACGTCACAGGGGTCGAAAAAGTCAAAATGGCGGCGCTAGATATGGAGAGAGTTTTTCTCGAATAACTTTCGAATTAGTCAAGATAGGAACAAACTAAGGGCATCATCGTGATCCTCTCGTCAATCCGCATCGAATGATATATATGTTGACCTCGAAAGGTCAAGGTCAAAGGTTGACCTCAGGTCACGTGACCTCGAGGTCATCATGTATATCATTCGATGCGTCTTGACGAGCTGAACACAATGAGACCATCCACGCGGCTGTATCTTGTTTCTGTACGGAGTTATTGGCCAAAAACCTTTGGTGACCTTTGATGACGTCACATGACCTCACAGCTGCCCAACAGCAAAACAGACCTCAAGGTAGTGAAGGTTGGTCATATATGAAGTCATGTATGGTATATGGGGCCATTCCGACCCGTTTTAGTGGTAAAAACAGGGAGTTGATTTTTTCCCCATTGACTTATAATGGGGAGGTCGCGAAATTGACCTGACCTTAGGTCACCGATATCAAAATTCCGAGATATACAAATTGTAGCTACTAATGACCTAATAACATCCTGAGACTTTCAAAGGCCTCCGACATCTACTGTAGCTCTGGCACGGTGACAAAGTTGCAAAAAAGTGACTTGAGGTTGGGTCATTCAAAGTGACCTGGTGACCTGACCTTGAAAGGTAGGAGGTTCAAACTTGCACACCATGTGTAAAATTGATGAGGTTATAGTCATACCAAATTTCGCGGCGCTACGCGCCGCGGTTTTTCCGCTATTGGCGAAAAACCTCAGGGGGGGCGGATATCCGCCCCCCCCCGTCGGTGCGCGGGTTAAATTGTATGTGGAGAATGCAAGCAGCAAGTAATACAGCAGCAGGCAGGCGACTCCCCAGCCCTCACCTATTGCCGGCAGGCCCGCCAGCCGTGGAACGGCCGCCTCCTGTGCTGACCACCGCCTCCTTCTTCTCCACCAATCCGTCGTCTACGCCGGACCCTGGGCTGCCGCGGGAGCTGCTGCTGCGCCCTCGGCTGGCGCTCACCGAGGGAAAGTAGCCCTGGCGGCGCACCACCCCTCCTGGGACGGCGCGCACCACCACCGGGTACACCCTGCGACCGGCCGGAGTCGGAGCGGCCCGACCCGCCCCCGGCGTGGAGCTGGACGGGGACGAGCCTTTACCGCCGGCACCAGACGCTGGGGTTCGCCGGGACCTCCGGCGGCGGCCCACGTAGAAGGGGATCTGTATGAAGCGCCTCCTCACCACCACGGGTCGGCGCCGCTGCACGCGTCTGACCACCACAGTTGGTGTTCGAGCTCCAGCCGCATGTTTAGCGGGCTTCGTAGCAGCGTCCCTATCAGCAGCTCTCCGTCTGGCCACTGTGGGTTCACCGACCTTTCTCTTCGCCACGGGCGGTTTGGTGCTGACCCTTCTACCGGAGGATCCACTGCCGCTCTGACCTGTGACTGGCCCTCGGTCGACGGCGCCACTGCCGGTGGTCCCGGGCCGGCGAGCCGCCCTGTCTTCTCCGTCCCCCTCTCGGCGATTGTGAGAGTCATCGACACCTCCGTCGGGCTCCGGAGCTCCTGTAGGTCATAAACGATACGCTAATTGCCTCCAGGATTAACTTCGCAGTTGGGCAGTAACTGGCAGATGGCACTGGCGGAGTAAAACTATGCATTCTTTTTTGTGCCACTTCCATGCAGCTTACTTTCAACGGGAAAAACACCCATTTCGTCCATATCATCGACGAAACTCACATGAAGTAATCCAATCATTAAAAAAATACAATTTCAATTCCAAACAAATGCGTGGCTACAAAATATTCACATTACAATCAACCTGTTACCTGTAATCTAGCCATATAACCAGCTGGCTATATTACTGGGCTCATACGTCATACGGCAGCAGCATAGGAATGACAGGAATATGGCGATGACGCCAGACTGAATTAGTTTCATCATAACACCGTAGAGCTGCCCGTATGCGTAAATGACGGTCTATGGGAATGGGCACAATATGAATCCGTAATCCGTATCGTGTGTTCAGTTTTTGTATGATGTTACATAGAACTAGTCTATCATAACATTCCCCCAACGTTTGAAACCTGAGACTGAGAGGGACGCAGTTAATAACGATGACGCAAACTATGGTGTCTGTTGCAATCCATAAGTCATGGATGCAGAACATATTTTATCACATACTTATCTTTCAATTCAGGGGATGCATAAATATGTTTAACATTTAAATATTTAGGAACAAAGGATTTAGGGCACAATGCAAATTTCAGATACGGCCGTATAGTGAGTGCTGAAAACGGGCACACAAGAACAGCAATCATCGATAGCCAGTTCAGTAGGCGGAACTATGGTCATGAGTACCCAATTATAGGAACGTTCCCATTTTTGGGAACGGAGTTCCCAAATATGGGAACGGGCGTTCCCATTTATGGGAACGGAAGGTAATTTTTCGGCCGTTCGCCCACTAAAACTCATTAGTGCATCACGTCTCAAAAAAGTGCACGCTAATTTAAGTATCTACTAAATCTCTATAAAATTATCTTCAATCTGACCGTTGCACAAGGAAATTGACCGTCGAATGATATTTTTAATGATTTTTTTAAATGACGGAATGGTGAAAACATGGGTTATACTACATTTAACTTGCAATTTTAAGGAAAATGAAGCGTTTTTTACATTTTGAGGTCAAGTATAATAATTTTCGCCTGGTTATGAAGTTTCATACTAGCGACACCAGATGCTGACATATGCAAGCGAACACGCGGACAGTCCGGGGGTAATATTGGTGACATTTGGTGTCGGGGCGCACGACCGCATGGAACGTCAGTGATTTTACCGAACTACTGTTGTTAACTCAGTTTCAGTGGTTTAAAATTATTCAGCTGTATTATATCATCCAAGATACACATATTTTATTTGGATGCTAGCTGTTTAGAGTTGTTTTATAAGGAGCGTCATGAGCGTGTTTTTTGTCTTCCGTGTTTCTAAGGGTGATCGTTTTGGGGGAATTTCTCTGATATAGGTCGCTCTGTGTGACTTATTTATAATTTTTATGCTGATTTCGATCATTCCTCGTGCCCATCCTACCAGGCCTTTTGCCACTTACACTCATCAAGAAAGGAAAAAACTAGATTTTCATTGGGACTAGGTGTTTTGAGGGTGTAACATATTCAGCGTTCCCATTTTTGGATACTTCCTTGTGCTCGTCAACTATCGGTGATAAACAGACAGGTGCTTGACATGTCTCCACCCTCGGCGCGGACGGTGGATATAGGTATGGTAGACCTTGTTGAACATCGCTGAGCGTTGTGAATTACGTAATCCTGCAGGGGGGGGCGTGCCCGCTGCGAGATCGACGGGAATAAAAGCGCAGAAGACCGGACGAAACATGCGACGGTCTTGCCGGAAAGGTCATCTGATGATTGTTGCGTTAACAATAATTTGCGGCGTTGGACGTGATGCTTGTTAATGAAAAGAGCCCCTGAAAGGCGTCGGTGAAATCGTTCCCAATTTTGGGTACGCCGTTCCCATAATAAGGAACGCTTGCAGCGCCAGTGTACGAGAGCGCTCCCAAATTTGGGCTCGCGGCCCGGATGATGGACTGCTTTAGAAATAGGGGAACGATTTGAAACTACGATGGGCCTTACAATATCAAACTCTTTCCCAACAATATTGAGACAAATATCAGGTGGTTCACGATCGTTTTATATTTTTTGGACGTCATTTAACGGTTCTTTTTCTTGTTTTAACTAATGCCTACATGGCGTTCCCATATTTGGGTTTATCGTTCCCAAACATGGGAACGAAAATGCGTTCCCGAAAATGGGTACGCTTGACCATAGTTCCGCCTACTGAGTTGAGCCTTTACGCAGGATACCTACATCATATATTTCGTCAATAGATTAGCTGAAATACTAAGTCGGTCACTGGTCATGCATTGGAGCGCATTTCGGAGCAAAAAGCCCGGCGCGTTGCAGGGACCGTGAGGGCCATCGTACATAGAAGTAAGTAGTAGTTAAATAAGTAGGTAGTTAAATATTTTTTTTTATCTACATCTAATTTTGAGCTATCAAATTGATGAAGCACTCGCATCGCACTTACGTATTCCTGTCCAATGTCAAGGAACCCTGGATTGGGTAGGTAATCATTGGGACTCTTACCGCTCTGTATGATAACTGGAATCTTTCCTTCTGTTCTCCGAACAATAACCGGAATACGTCTTCCATTCCTTATAACGAATGCAGGAACTCTTCTACGGCCTGAAACTGGAACCCTTCCGCCACTTCCCTGGACGACTGGAATCCTTTTTGCAGCTGTGTGAACAGGAACACTGCCTCTATTTTGTCTGATCACGACAGTATTTCGTCCCTGTGCGCCGACTGTGACAGCAGCATCTCCACCTCTCCCTGCAGCTGGTCTTCCACCTCCCTCGGCGTCCCCGAAGAAGGCAGGACGGCTGTCCCCAGCGGCCCTCCCTCGGCCGGTCTGGCTGCCCTCCGCCGCCGCAGGGGAGGGCCGCGGCGCCCTCCTGGGTGCCGGCGGCGGCGGGCTGCTACCGTAGTCTCTTTTGGGACGGTACGATCCTCCGGGTCCACCTCCCTGCCTCGGAAAACCTGTAAATTAACGGTAGCATTGTGAATTACCTGACGTGGTATGACATGTTTGGAGCCCTCACTATCCATATTCGGTGTGTAAGGTCCCGCGGATCACATACCTACATCTGCAGCGAACAGTGAAAATCCAAACCGAACACCAACGTCCAACATCATTCAACATGCCAGCGGCAGTGGAGAGGGACCCGACCCGGATAAGAGATGGGTTTGATTGCGAGTATCCCTCCTCCCGGTTCGATGGACTGGCTTTTTACGTGAAATCAGAGCCGTCTGATCCCCCTGGGGCGGTCGGGCGTCCGGTGACCGGGTCGGTCCGATTGGTGCGCAGCGCTCGCTGCCTCGCCGGCGGCGGTGGCCGAGCCCCGGGTCGGATTACTGCGCTCGGCAGCCGGCGCCGCGCTGGTGACCTGGGTCCGCCCGGGCACAGAGACAGAGTCGTGTATCGAGGCCGTTCATGTAACGACAATGACGTAGCGATATGTAGCGGTAAAGATTATCTTAGCTCGAGGGGGACATCGATAAGACACTTCTGTGTTTTTTTCGCCCGATCTTTTTCAGAGTTAGATATAAATATAACTCAGCTATGCCGTATTTTGCGGAATGTTGTGCTTTTGTTCTGAAATGCATTTCATGGCCACTTAAGCACCCAGACTTGCTCATGAATAATATACTAAGTCAAATTGATAAGGGACGATCGAAAATCGAATAAAGCGAGATCCCCCCCCCCCCCCGAGAAATGCAGGGTAGTTAGCTGTCGGCGGTCGGGTTGTTATCTGTGAGGTTGGGCAGCGTGAAGCTGCATCTCCCTACATGGTGCTCGCCGGCTCCCGAATGTCGCCCTTTTAGTGGGATTAGGCCAGGAACCCCAGCCAACCCACTCTCTTGTATCACAGTACAACACATCGCCTGGTCTCACGTGATTGGGCGAGCACTGAGCAGTGGGCTAGGTAGCGGCCAACAGGACTGGGTTCTACAAGATAGCGGAAGTGTTTCGGCCATTGATTCTTCGCTGGTGTCTATCCATTTTCTAAAAACAATAGGTACATACCAAGGTAAGGTAGTGTATGGGGCAATCGAAACCATTTGGTTGTTTTAGTCTTCTACTGGTGCATTCTTTAAAAAAAACCTTTATAGTAAAAAATCGTTTAGCTGGTGACCTGGGGACCTGATGATGGCAAATATAGGAAAGGACACAACCTAAAGGACAAACAGTCAAAAGACAGACAACAAATATGATTTAAGATTCGCGTATCAAATCGCATTTATACAAAACATTCGTCAGCTTATGTTAGTACGCATGTTTGTACGCGTAGCTACGACACATGCAAGCACACATGAATACACATACCTACCTACATATACCTGTTGCTTCCACACCACAAACAAACAACCGGGCACGAACGAGCTACTCACTTGGAGGCAGCATCTCTGCATCACGGCTGCCACCGACTCCCCTGGAAGGAGGCAAAACCAAACACTCAGTAATCATAATCATATCAGCATTCCATACACAAATGCTTCACGGGTGTCTACTAATTTTTTAATTTTTTTTATCTTCATATGCAAAAAAATTCAGTGACATTGGGTGACGTCAGTGTAAATAAAAATAAATCAAACTTCTGTGCCAAAAATTAGTAGACACCCGTTATTCAACGGATTCAATTTTGATCCTGCACCGGTGATCGCTAAACCTGAAGAGCTTCACTTTATTCACCCCTTTCTGACTTACCGTACTGCAAAACGTCCTTTGATGAAAATCATACTCGGCTTATGTTCCAGCAACTCTGGGCTTACCCGCCTCCGAACCACAGCACCTGTCCCAGGCAGAGGACCATAGCTCGACACTTACCCGCCTCCGAACCACAGCTCCTGTCCCAGACAGAGGACCATAGCTCGACACTTAACCGCCTCCGAACCACAGCACCTGTCCGAGGACCATAGCTCGACACTTACCCGCCTCCGAACCACAGCACCTGTCCCAGAGTAGAGTACCATAGCTCGACACTTACCCGCCTCCGAGCCACAGCACCTGTCCCAGACAGAGGACCATAGCTCGACACTTACCCGCCTCCAAACCACAGTACCTGTCCCATACACAGAGGACCATAGCTCGACACTTCCCGCCTCCGAACCACAGCACCTGTCCCAGGCAGAGAACCATAGCTCGACACTTACCCGCCTCCAAACCACAGTACCTGTCCCAGACAAAGGACCATAGCTCGACACTTACCCGCCCCCGAACCACAGCACCTGCATCCCATACAGAGGACCATAGCTCGACACTTACCCGCCTCCGAACCACAGCACCTGTCCCAGACAGAGGACCAGCTCGACACTTACCCGCCTCCGAACCACAGCACCTGTCCCAGGCAGAGAACCATAGCTCGACACTTACCCGCCTCCGAACCACAGCACCTGTCCCAGGCAGAGAACCATAGCTCGACACTTACCCGCCTCCAAACCACAGTACCTGTCCCAGACAGAGGACCATAGCTCGACACTTAACCGCCTCCGAACCACAGCACCTGTCCGAGGACCATAGCTCGACACTTACCCGCCTCCGAACCAGAGCACCTGTCCCAGACAGAGGACCATAGCTCGACACTTACCCGCCTCCGAACCACAGCACCTGTCCCAGGCAGAGAACCATAGCTCGACACTTACCCGCCTCCGAACCACAGCACCTGTCCCAGACAGAGGAGCATAGCTCGACACTTACCCGCCTCTGAACCACAGCACCTGTCCAAGGCAGGGCTCGACACTTACCCGCCTCTGAACCACGGCACCTGTCCCAGACAGAGTACCATAGCTCGACACTTACCCGCCTCCAAACCACAGCACCTATCTGAGGACCCTAGCTCGACACTTACCCGCCTCTGAACCACAGCACCTGTCCAAGGCAGGGCTCGACACTTACCCGCCTCCGAACCAGAGCACCTGTCCCAGACAGAGGACCATAGCTCGACACTTACCCGCCTCCGAACCACAGCACCTGTCCTAGAGGACCAACTCGACACTTACCCGCCTCCGAACCACAGCACCTGTCCGAGGACCATAGCTCGACACTTACCCGCCTCCGAACCACAGCACCTGTCCCAGACAGAGGACCATAGCTCGACACTTACCCGCCTCCGAACCACAGCACCTGTCCCAGAGTAGAGTACCATAGCTCGACACTTACCCGCCTCCGAGCCACAGCACCTGTCCCAGACAGAGGACCATAGCTCGACACTTACCCGCCTCCAAACCACAGTACCTGTCCCATACACAGAGGACCATAGCTCGACACTTCCCGCCTCCGAACCACAGCACCTGTCCCAGGCAGAGAACCATAGCTCGACACTTACCCGCCTCCAAACCACAGTACCTGTCCCAGACAAAGGACCATAGCTCGACACTTACCCGCCCCCGAACCACAGCACCTGCATCCCATACAGAGGACCATAGCTCGACACTTACCCGCCTCCGAACCACAGCACCTGTCCCAGACAGAGGACCAGCTCGACACTTACCCGCCTCCGAACCACAGCACCTGTCCCAGGCAGAGAACCATAGCTCGACACTTACCCGCCTCCGAACCACAGCACCTGTCCCAGGCAGAGAACCATAGCTCGACACTTACCCGCCTCCAAACCACAGTACCTGTCCCAGACAAAGGACCATAGCTCGACACTTACCCGCCCCCGAACCACAGCACCTGCATCCCATACAGAGGACCATAGCTCGACACTTACCCGCCTCCGAACCACAGCACCTGTCCCAGAGTACCATACCACCAGAGTGCTCGACACTTACCCGCCTCCGAACCACAGCACCTGTCCCATACAGAGGACCAGCTCGACACTTACCCGCCTCCGAACCACAGCACCTGTCCCAGAGGACAGCTCAGCTCGACACTTACCCGCCTCCGAACCAAAGCACCTGTCCCAGGCAGAGGACCCTAGCTCGACACTTACCCGCCTCCGAACCACAGCACCTGTCCCAGACAGAGGACCATAGCTCGACACTTACCCGCCTCCGAACCACAGCACCTGTCCCAGACAGAGGACCATAGCTCGACACTTACCCGCCTCTGAACCACAGCACCTGTCCAAGGCAGGGCTCGACACTTACCCGCCTCTGAACCACGGCACCTGTCCCAGACAGAGTACCATAGCTCGACACTTACCCGCCTCCAAACCACAGCACCTATCTGAGGACCATAGCTCGACACTTACCCGCCTCTGAACCACAGCACCTGTCCAAGGCAGGGCTCGACACTTACCCGCCTCCGAACCAGAGCACCTGTCCCAGACAGAGGACCATAGCTCGACACTTACCCGCCTCCGAACCACAGCACCTGTCCTAGAGGACCAACTCGACACTTACCCGCCTCCGAACCACAGCACCTGTCCGAGGACCATAGCTCGACACTTACCCGCCTCCGAACCACAGCACCTGTCCCAGACAGAGGACCATAGCTCGACACTTACCCGCCTCCGAACCACAGCACCTGTCCTAGAGGACCAACTCGACACTTACCCGCCTCCGAACCACAGCACCTGTCCCAGACAGAGGACCATAGCTCGACACTTACCCGCCTCCAAACCACAGCACCTGTCCCAGACAGAGGACCATAGCTCGACACTTACCCGCCTCCGAACCACAGCTCCTGTCCCAGGCAGAGGACCATAGCTCGACACTTACCCGCCTCCGAACCACAGCGCCTGTCCCATACAGAGGACCATAGCTCGACACTTACCCGCCTCCAAACCACAGCACCTATCCGAGGACCATAGCTCGACACTTACCCGCCTCCGAACCACAGCACCTGTCCCAGACAGAGGACCATAGCTCGACACTTACCCGCCTCCGAACCACAGCGCCTGTCCCAGACAGAGGACCATAGCTCGACACTTACCCGCCTCCAAACCACAGCACCTGTCCCATACCGAGGACAGCAGCATGACACTTACCCGCCTCCGAACCACAGCACCTGTCCCAGACAGAGGACCATAGCTCGACACTTACCCGCCTCCGAACCACAGCGCCTGTCCCATACAGAGGACCATAGCTCGACACTTACCCGCCTCCAAACCACAGCACCTGTCCGAGGACCATAGCTCGACACTTACCCGCCTCCGAACCACAGCACCTGTCCCAGACAGAGGACCATAGCTCGACACTTACCCGCCTCCGAACCACAGCGCCTGTCCCAGACAGAGGACCATAGCTCGACACTTACCCGCCTCCGAACCAAAGCGCCTGTCCCATACAGAGGACCAGCTCGACACTTACCCGCCTCCGAACCACAGCACCTGTCCCAGACAGAGGACAGCAGCTCGACACTTACCCGCCTCCGAACCACAGCACCTGTCCCAGACAGAGGACCATAGCTCGACACTTACCCGCCTCCGAACCACAGCACCTGTCCCAGACAGAGGACCATAGCTCGACACTTACCCGCCTCCGAACCACAGCACCTGTCCCAGACAGAGGACCATAGCTCGACACTTACCCGCCTCCGAACCACAGCACCTGTCCGAGGACCATAGCTCGACACTTACCCGCCTCCGAACCACAGCACCTGTCCCATACAGAGGACCATAGCTCGACAGTGCGACACTTACCCGCCTCCAAACCACAGCACCTGTCCCAGACAGGTGGCGATGAGAGAGCAGAGCAGAATAACTACACCCGGAGCTCGCACCATCACAGGACGTCTGAACCCTAGTGAACCAGTCGTGCGGTCGTGCCTGACTGAGCTAGCGAGTCCGGCTGAATCAGAGTATACTGGCCGAGTCCGGGTGACGCGCTGTCAGGTGCCTCGGCGCTGACATTTCGGCGGACCGGCGCAGTGTCAGCGGACGGTGCAGAGTCGGCCCAGAGTGGCTCGGCCTGTCAGTGGCACAGACAAGAGCAGCTCCGCCCGACGGCGCTGTGAATTTATGACGCACACCGGTGTAATGCAGAAGCATTAAACTACCGGTCTTTGTGAGTTTGAAGGAAATGTTTTGAGAGTCAAACAACAACTTTGGCATTGTCATTAGATTTCAGGCACGTCATCTGCTCTCTCAGGGTGATTGCTTTCAGTTGTAACCACTTTTGCACCATGCCGTGCGTCTTGTATTTCTTTGGAATACATATATGACTGAAATACCTACAAGTGATGTGAGCTGTAGGTTTGTGAGCCTAAAGTTACATCAATGGCCTTATATTGTTTCCTCTGGTAGTATGATCCCCATTTTATTGGGCCAATTAGGCCCTTGCGATGCTTATTACCTCTCTATCCCCATCCTGCTCCATCTCACTTTCTTTCACCCATTCAGTCACTCCCTCACTCACCGGTCACGGTTACCTGTGTTTTTCACTCGTTCACTCGCCCACGCCTAACTTTATAAACTCGGAGGCTATATGAAGCGTCTCCCCTTCACTCTGCAGTGTGTCGGAGAATCCATACAATCCGAGGTTGTGAATTGACCAGAATCGGACGGTGTGTGTGGGAGTCCTTGTGACTGCCAGTTCATATCATTGTCGTCCATTCTCTGAGTTCTGGGAACAGGGACGTCATCCGAGGACCCTGCGCAAACGTTTATATAACGGCACTTACCCGTCACTCAATCAGCGGTGCGCTTGTACAATAAGACAGGTATGGGGTGTATTTAATTAGATTAATAGGTTGAATATTGATGTAAATAACAAACCAATAAGTACAAATAAATGTATTCAAAAGCATGGGTATCATTACCCAATCTACCAAAATAAGCAACAAAAGCTAAATAAGTCTTAACTCGCGCACCGACCCAACATACAGGGTGTCTCAAAAGTTCGTTCACAGGTACCAGCCATGCTTTTTTGTCAATAATTCTGAATCAACAAGAAATTAACAGTCGACATTTTGCATGGGCATTGGTGACAACCTTCCTCAAGCAGTCTCATTGTTTTCAAGTGCATTCGACCCTTCATGAGCTCACAAAAAGGGTTCATCTCTGACCATGGGTCAGGCACGAAAATGTAGGTTGCAAAGTCGGGTATGTTGTGAAACTCTCTGTTTCAGGAGTAATGGGAATGGTTAAGTCGGAAATGACACATGGCTAAGTGTCGGCGAGGATGAGTGCAACATGATGATCATCTCATCAAAACGGTGGCTAAAATTTTTGAAGGACGAAACCATGCGAGACTAACGGCGTTTTGAACGACCCTCGCACGACAGCAGACTCGTGTTCCGGAAAGCAGCTGAAAATGCGGTCATAACTATTGAAAACTGGCAAGAAGGTCACAGACAGAGGTTACCCATTTTCAAAAAGTGCAGGTCATCGTAAAATAAAGACATTATAATTTAAAATTGTTTATAATATCTATAACGCTAATTTTTGGGGACAATAACACAAAAATCGTCAATGCCAAGGACACCTGACCCTCCAAAAGTGTCAGTTATTGTAAAATGTTATCTAACGAAGTTTCAAGAGGCAGATCTGCAGCGAATAATTTTCTTTTAAACACAAAATTCCGATAAAACCACACGATGGACAGGTTTGGGCCGTTTACAAAGCAGAACATCTCCCGAGGAAAACACTCCGCAACCGAGCGAAGGTCTTGGCATGGGGAATGACGAGCGCTTGGAATTTGCAAAATTTGCACAATGTGTCTGAGAAACAGACGTCCGACACATTCTGCTACCATATGATGCGAAAAATTTACTTCTGGCACTTCCCGTTTGTTCAGGACTGGGGTCGTTTTGAAAAGGAAAATGGCGCTTGGGATGTCGGCGCCAGTCATTCATGAAGGAGTTAGCGCCAGAGAATGCCTACAAAATACTCAAGAATGGTGTCGATGCAAGCTGTCGGCTTTCAGGGAAAATCAGATGTTGCCGGGGAGCTAGTCAAAACTAAATCCGACGCAGAAACTGCAGGGGATTCCCCTGCAAGAGCTTGAAAGCTGGTAACCTTTTATCAGCCTCCGGCAGCTGACGGAGCAACAAAAATCGGTATGGGCAAATATTTTTGGAGATACAGCAAAGGGGTTGGTTTCCAACCTTCTTAATCAGTTGTCAAAGCATGCATATTTGTCTAGTGTACACACAGACACCAAAACCTTATACTTTTGGCCGGTTCTTATAAGCTTTATTGGCATGGGAAATGTGTGAACGAACTTTTGAGACACCCTGTAGAACCGACGGGGGGGGGGGGGCGGTGGTTGACCGCCCCCCCCTGAGATCTCGAGAACGAAGCAAGATAGAGACAAGTGATAAACGGCATGGGGTATGCACGGACAAGGTCTACAATTTTTACTGAGGTCATTTTCCGGTCAGGTCAAAGATGACGTCACAGGGGTCAAAAAAGCCAAAATGGCGTCGTTTAATATGAGAGTTTTTCTCGAATAACTTTCGAAGTAAGTAAGCTAGGAACAAACTAATGGCACCATCGTGATTCTCTCGTCAATCCGCATCGCAACATATGCTTATGTGCTGACCTCGAAAGGTCAAGGTCAAAGGTTGACCTCAGGTCACGTGGCCTCAAGGTCAACACGTATATCATTCGATGCGCCTTCACGAGCTGAACACGATGAGACCATCTACGCGGCTGTATCTTGTTCCTGTGAGGAGTTATAAGCAAAAACCTTTGGTGACCCTTGATGACGTCACATGACCTTACAGCTACCGAAGAGCAAAGGCCTCAAGGTAGTCAAGGTTGATCGTATATAAGTTCATTCGTGGTATATTTTGGACAATTCCGACGCGTTTAGTGGAAAAACAGGAGGTTAAATTTCCCCCATTGACTTGGGAAGGTAAAAAAATTGACCTGACCTTAGCTTACCTATCGATATCAAAATTCCGAGATAAACAAATTGTAGCTACTAATGACCTCGTTACATCCTGCGACTTTCAAAGGCCTCCGTCATCTATTTTAGCTCTGACACGGTGACAAAGTTGCAAAAAAGTGATTTGAGATAGGGTCATTCGAAGTGACCTGGTGACCTGACCTTGAAAGGTAGGAGGTTCAAACTTGCACACTATGTATTAAATATTGATGAGGGAAAAGTCAGGCCAAATTTCGTGAAAAAGCTAAGGGGGGGGGGGGTCAACCCCGTCGGTGCGCGGGTAAGGCTTTTTATTGGAATGATGTAGGTGAGATAAATCGGAGTCATCATTCAGCTCTTCGTCTTTCTGGCTGACACCTATGTACGGCACTTACGCGCTCGCATGCGAGCAGCACAGTTTCTCTTCAACGTGCTGTCACAGATCTCAACTCGTGACACCGTTTTGACTGGTGACGGTAGGAAAGGCTATCTTAAATTTAGTCACACACCTTCCCCAGCTCTTTTGTATAGAGCAGAGTGTGGGATTTGTTTTAGTTGGTGATTCCAAACTTTAAACTACAGACGCTATCTTGATTGCTAACTTTGAATTTGCCTGACCGTACCTATACCTCGCTGTTAAATACCTATGTATGTACAGGTGCTTACATACTTCTGATTAGCCTATCCTGAAGATTCCAGTCAACTCGTCAATGAAATGGGATTGGGGAGGGCGATTTACATCAGTAGAGTATATATAGATTGACAATTGTTGATAAGCGTTTAGGAAGGCCTTTAAATTAAATATTCATTTGCTTTAAATTAAGAATAAAGTTAAAATTGAAAAAATGATATATAGCCCGACGTTTCGCATTTATTGCTTATTCATGGGCAACTGAGATACAGCACAATTTGGTCAACATACACATTAAAAATTCAAATATCATCATTGACAGCACGCTTTTCTATAAACATGTCTTTCACTAAACGATATCGTATCAGTTCGATCGATCGAATGCGTTTCTACGTACACGTCCGTTTATGCAAAGTTCGACCAGCCTAACGTAATCATCCTTTTCTGGAACTGGGAGTTGGACATCGTCCACTAGTCATAATACTTCTTGAAGGGCCCTAATGGCTCCATCATTTGGTACTAGAGATGCCACAAATTTGCAATTTCATTACCCGCCCCGCCCCGCAGCTACCCCTCGCCCAACCACAACTACCCGCAAGCTGATTTTGGCTGAGCCGAACCCGCAAAAAACCCGCAATTTCAAAAACCTGCTTTTGCAAGAAAAAAAAAATCCAGCTGGGTCAATGCTAGAGCTATATAAACCTTACTTGCTTCATTGCTGTGCAGAAAAAGACAGCCAATCAAATAGTAAGGACTTGAAATTGCTATGCTAAGTCCTCAGGAAGTGCACACTGGATAGTGGAAAATGAATAATGCATCAATACATTTGAAATTCCTTTCTGAAAAGAGTCCAGTAAAATCTTTCTCTCACCTTACCCTTCAGCATTGGCTGAGGATCAAAATTTCACTCTGGCTCCCTCTCAATGTCAATGGCTGATGTTAGGCTTCTGGAATGATATTGCTATAAAAATGAATGTTGATATAAAAAGATATGCGATTTCCAGTTAAAAATAAATAGTGACACGGTGAATAATGAGCATCCAGTCGATCTACACATAAAACAAATCCTGCAAAATCCCAGCAAAAACCAACTAACCACCAATGAACCACGCATTTCTGAAAACATGCGTCAGAAGCGTCACCAACAGCTGATTGCAAGGAATGTTACAGCGACTAAATTATTGCAGCCGTAGTTAGTACGAACTAATTATTGCGAAAACACCGTTGTATAATGCATATTCATGTGCCATTCTGATAAAATTATTTTACACAACAGCTTAAGGTTTACAATTCAGAGGTTCATCACCGGTTAAGAAATAAAGAGACAGTAAATACTAAATTAAATGTAATAATTTTATAGATGGTCTTGGTAATGCTCTCCGCCTGGTCCTGTCTCGGCATACAAATAATAAGGACGTAAAAAGACAAAAGAAATAAATGCGACCAGCTACGTGGTTTTGTAACATGTATAACTGCTATTTTGAG